GTAACACCATGTGAGTCAGCAGGTACGTGTCAGCATGTGCAGCGGGTGTGTAACACCATGTGTGTCAGCGGGTGCATGTTGGCATGTGCGTCAGCGTGTGTGGCAGGTGTGTAATACCACGTGTGCTAGTAGGTGCGTGTCAGCGTGTGCGGTGGGTAAGCGTGGTGGTGGCGCATCACCGGGTGTGTGACAGCAGCGGAAGGCACGGCGCGGGGACGTGGTGGGTGGGTGGGTGGGAATCATTCTGTGTTGGGACAGATGCGGCTGTGCTCACAGTGACCCCAGCACGACGCACAGACCACCGATGTGTGCAAACACCGGACACGACTGTAACACTGAGTGTCAACGTGAGATCACATCAGGAAGAAGCGCTAGCTTCACCTGCCCTTCCTCTGGCTGGAGCCACCTTCCAGCCACGCACCAGAATGACCAGGGAAGATGTGAGGCCACGTGATGTGTTCTCCGGAACTTTCAGAAACAGGGCTGGGCACAGGCTGCAAGTCCACAAGAGGGGTGGTGTGTGTGAGGGGGGGAGGGGCTGTTGAGAACGGAATGCCCACATATACCCCGTGGCAAAGCTAGAAGAGTTTCCGCCGTCACCCTGCCCACCGGGCGCTTCACTATCACCCGAGCGGACCTGGCTTCCTGAGGCGTGTGTGGGATGGTGGTCAGGAAAGAGGGAAGGTATGGGGTCCACGGAGGCCCAGCCTGCTCCACCAGAGAAGCTGGTGGCCAGGGAGCCCACTTCCTGTGACTCATAGATGACAACTGTGAAAAAAATAAAACACCTCTGGACTGCTAAACAAACAAACCAACCAACCCAAACTTTACTTTAAGACCCAACTTCCAGTTACCTGGCCAACATTCACAACTAGGAGTAAAACCCGTGAGGCTCACACACACGCAGAGCCCTGGCTGGGGGCCCGTGGAGCCACAAACACAGTGTGCTGGTTCCTCAGGAGCACTAAATATCCACCATGGCTGGGGGCGTACACAGGCCACACTCACAAAACTTAGGTGTGGAGGAACGCATGCTCGGTTATGGGGTTTTTTTCCCTGTGAAGCCCCTGACTGTGGGAATGAGCTGCCTCCGCCTCCACTTCTCAGTCTCCAGACCCTGAACTCTCCGGCTTCCCGCTGGGCTGCCAGAGGGTCCTTGCGACCTGACCTCCCCGTCGCCTTCTGCTGATGCTGTAAGCACCAGACCAGCACAAAGGCCTGTCCCTGGTCGGCAGCAGGCCCTTCCCCATGGGGATCGTCCAGGGCCAGCTGCACACGCTTAGGTGCTCACACCCCATCTGCACTGCAGACCAGGGATCTCCCAGCCAGTCCTGCGCACTGTGAGACGCAGGGGGACTGTGGGGCCAGGCTGAACAAACCCCCCTCTCAGCCACCACTGGGCATCCAGGGGGCATTTGCTCCAGAAGTGCTAAACCAGAATCAGGGATGGCACCCACCATGGGCTTTGGATGAGGCACACGGATGCCAACAGCAGGTCCACCCTCTCAACCCACGAGTCGAGGTAAACTACACCCTGTCCCATCTGAAGGGACCGTGCTCACTCTTCAGGTGCTCATGCCGCTCCCAGGACATGAGCTCAGCTGGCCCTGCTCTGAAGTGGGATCACTCGGTGAGCTGTTACTGCAGACTCCTGTGGGGAAAGAGCAGCCCACTCTTGTAGGGTGGGCTGAGGGTGCACTGAGCAGAGGGTGCGCATGCTAGAAGGACAGAGGGACGATGGCACTCACAGCCCCTTCACCAGGAAGACAGAGGTGCCTGCCACCCTCCTCCGCCTGGCTTTCCCATAACTCTGTGTCCACCAGGAAGGACGTTCACCAGCTTGCTGCTAACATAGCGAGGCCAGATCACCTCCAAATTCTCCCAAGCCCCCTGGAGACACAGCAATTCAGGGATGTAGGAAATCCCACCACTGGCCTGCAAGGGCCCACTGTCCAAGGCCACAGCGGGGGAGCGCTGCATCCAAAAGCTGTAGGAGGCACACAGCTCTGCAAGGTGCCCCCACTCCTCCTGCGGGGCTGCCTCGCCTTCTTCCTGCCTTCCTGAAACCACGTACCCCACCGCTCTCCCCCTCTGCACTGGAGACCCCACCTCTGGCCCAGGCCAGAGACAGTGGCTCCCTGACTCACCCAGCACCTGTCCCAGAGCTGATGTCTGCTCAGCAGTGTCCAGTAAGTGGGTGGGTAAATGTTATCCCGGGAGCTGCCTCATGGCACCCCAACTTCAGACACCCTGAAATTCCTTATGTATCCCTAGACTTGGCGGTCCATTTGCACCTATGCATGAAGAACCACCCAAAAACATTTTCAGTATGGAAAACAAATCTCACTCTCTAAGCCGTCAGCACTGGTGATGAACTCTTCAGAAGTTTTAATGCAGAGCATATTTTAAACGTCTGTGGCAGCTCAGGACAGCTGCCCGTCACCGGGCATGAGCACCCGCTTCAGCCTCACAGGAGGCTTGCTGAGGGGACAGGGCTCAGTGCTGGGCAACCTCCCCTGGGGGCTTCCAGGAGAAGCCACAACCTGCCAGCACTGTATGTCAGAGCAGAGCATGTTTCTGACATCTTTTCATTTCCAACTAGAAAGCATCAGAGATTCAGAATTCTATGTAAACTTTTAGCATCTCCTGGAGTCTGTGGAAGCTGACTGCTACGAAGATCTGTATTTGCACATGTCCGTGGTTCTAAAACCTGGCTGGCTCCGATCTCGTCAGGATCTGGTGAGTGCTGCGGAGCCGCACGCAGGCCCTGATGCTCCTACAAAGGTGCCCCTCGCACCCGCTGGCTTTCTCGCCGTCAAATGCCACACTGTCTCCCACTTCCTTCGCGCTCTGGGCTCTGGCTTGGATGTAGGCAGCACTGGCCGCAAGCAGCCTCCTGTCACAGTAAGTTTGTGCTCACTTGGGAGCCTAAACCTAAGTTCCTCAAACATCATCTGTGTGCTGCCAGGAAGGGGTTTTGCAGCCGTGAGTCAGGCCTGTGACCAGCTGACTTCCTGGAGGACATGGCTGGTCCCATTCAAGCAGGGAGTGGTCATGAGGAAGCTGTGGGTGCTGGGTTCCTGCCTGTCTGGAGGCGTCACCAGCCAGTGACATCACACCGCTGCCGTCAGGACCGTAGGACGTATAGTGACCCCGATGGCACTATGCCAGCTGAGAGGTCACTTCTCAGTGAAGTAGTGCAACTGGGCACTTCCAAACCTCTTACCCGTTCCACCTTCCGGGAGCTTCCAGCCTGAGGGGCAGTGTAGTAGCTTCTCAAGATGCAGCTGAGGGGCCATTTTTTTAAATCTTTTTATAGGTATATTTCAAGGACATGTTTACATTAAAAATGTGTCGTTTTAAGCAATGTAAGTGCAGTTACAATTCAGGAACTGAGAATCTTCAACATCAAGCTGAAAGAGAGGCCCTGGGGGGGAGCGTGCACACGTGTTTACAGGGCAGACCAGGTACCTGCAGCCAAAGACCCCGAGTCAGAGTCGTGTGAGGGGCTGGGCAGCTAGAGAGGAAGCACAAGGTGCTGAATTTCTTAGAAGCAGAAAGTCAGTACGCTAAATTCAAAGCTCCAAAACAAAGGACCACTGGAAGGGAATTTATTCCTCTGGATGAACAAAAGTTGTTCAAGCTCTTGGGAGATTCTATCTTGTGCACTTTTCAGCCCCTCAGAGTTCCTCACGCTGCACAGGTTGCCGAGGATAGCTTGCTGAGGCCCTACACGCGGCCTGGGGACTGCCCGAGCCCTCCGACACCCAGAGCCTGTGAGAAATGCCGAGCTCAGGCCCTACCTGATGCCCAGATCAGGTCCCTGGGGCTTGTCGTGAGTACGTGGCGCTGGAGAAGCTTCAGTGCGGGTGCGGATACAGCACCGTGGCAGAAGGGAGCAGGACCCGGAGTTGGGGGCAGGGGAGGCCGCCCTCTGGAGTAGCTGGTGCGGCAGCTGTTTTAAGCAGCCCTGCAGACCTTTCTATTTGATACTTTCTAAGATCAGCGATCATCACAGTAATTCAGACATTTTCACTAAAACTTCAGCACAGATGTTTAAGCAGTGGATGCTGGAGCTAGACGCAGGCTTTGGGGATCAGGCACCCGGGCTGCTCGAGACCTGGAACTACACAGGGGTGAGTGTCCTTGGGCCTGCGATGCCCTCCAGGCCCAGATGGGAAGGTGACACCTCCAGGCCCAAATGGGAAGGTGACACAGGGCTCCCGGTCGGGAAATGAGGCCCTCAGCCCGTGAGTACCCAGGAAGACAGTGCTGGTTCATGGAGGACACCTGGGAAGCCCTTCTGAAATTGAGAACTGTAGTCTCACGTTTTCTAGGTAATAAGAATACCCTTTAAACTGCTAACACAATATAGCTTTCAGCGTGTGCTTCTATATCCTGGGCACATGGCATTGGAAACGCTCATGAAAACAAAACCAAACCAAGGAGCCCTGTGTGCACAGGAAAACAGCCTTGAGCGTCTAGAGATCTGAGAGCCACTGCTCATGCTCTGATGGGGCAGTTTTTTTTTTTCCTTAATCCTTTATTTTATTTTTTCTAATTAAAATTTTTTTTCTTAGTTTATTGTCAAGTTGGTTTCCATATAACCCAGTGCTCATCCCAACAAGTGCCCTCCCCCATGCTCTGATGGGGCAATTCTAGCCTAAAGAAGAGCCTTAATGCAAACAGCTGCAAAGGCACTTTCATCAAAGTGGACAACAACTCAGAGACAGATAGACGTAGGACTCACACTCAGGGACAGAAGACTCACACTTGGGGATAGACACAAGACACACTCAGGGACAGACACCAAGATTCACACTCAGGACAGATGCCAGGACTCACAAGTGTCAGGGACACATGCCGGGGACATGCATTGAGGACACGCACATGCATTGGGGACAGACATCAGGACTCACACTTAAGGACAGATGCCAGGACTCACACATGTTGGGGAGACACAGGATGCACATGCACTAGGGACAAATGCCTGGACTTACACTTGTCGGGTGCTGGGCAGCAGCTTCCAGTTGCAGCCTCACCCTCTGAGGCATCATAACGTCGTCCTGAAGCAAAGAACAGTTTAAACTCACATAAGGCAACTCCCACAAAGAAGAAACAAACAGACAGAAAAGCCTACAGCAAAATGGGCAAAAGCCAAGAACAGGCAATTCAGATGCTACTCACAGGACCAGGAACCCCGTTAGTTGGCAAGGAGATGCTGGCAGTCCCCACAATGGCTCGCACACTGTCATGTGCAAGCACTCTAGAGGGCGCTTGGCCTCATCCAGCAATCTGAGGATACACATCCCTAAGACACAGGCCCCATACCACTGGGAAGGGGCATCTTGTATGCCCAGTCTTGGATTTGCTTGGCCTTCAAATACTTGTAGAACAAATGGAGTGTCCATTCAAGACTGAATTATATTTCTGATTACTTCACCAGTTACAAAATGCTCACATATGCTTTTTTTTTTTTTTTTTCCAAATCACAATCTTCTATAGTTGAAGACACGGCATCTAAAATTATCCCTGTTTTGTAGCCAGAGAAAACAAGGCTTGAGAAGGCTATGTATTTCACCCAAGGTCTCATAGCACTTACATGCCTTACATGTTAAAATTTGAACATGGGATTAACTGAGAAACCAACATACACCAAAAGCAAAACTGCCCAGAAATTCCTGGCTCTCATGAATGTTCTAAAGTAAGTTTCCACCACCTCCTGAACTAGAATCACCTCTGGAGTATCTGAATAAAGTCAACCCCTGCAAATACACAGAATACTTAAGACAGCTAACACACCCACTGACAATTAGCAGAGAAATTCCAGGAGAAAGGCAAGGAACAGGGAATCAAACCTGAAACCAAGCAGCACAACAGGTACCCCACGATTTCAGAGTGCACACTGGCCTGTAAGTCACAGAGAAGCTCCCTGTTCTCCCCAGACCATTTTGAAAGAAGAAAAACTCGCTGATGGGATGAATGAAAAGTTCTTTATTACACAAGAAAAGCCACATGGTATTTTATTTTATTTTATTTTTTTCACATGGTATTTTAATAACAAGCCCAGATGTGTTTCTGCTGGTGGCCGTGATCTGCACCACTTTTCGCATCCTGGAAAGGGCCCTGTTCTGGTCAAGGTCCACAGGGTTCACAGCCGGTGCCAAACACTAGGAGTTAGTTTTAACTAAAGTCAGCTGGTTTTTGAAATGCAAAGGCGAGGAGTCCAAGGGGTGGATACACAGTCCTGACTCTTCAGGGCACAGGAGGGGGGCTCCGAAACCCCCACATGTGTTTCTGCCTGGGAGTATGCAAGGTCCCAGACTGGCTGCAGTTCCACAATGATACCCAGTTAAGGAACAACGTTCTTGACAGCCTGGGGCAAAGGATGTTGATGTTTTATAAAAATAACATCAATTGAGAATGAAATGCCATTTCCTTTCTGCCCACAAAAATTTTAGGTAGAAACAAGCTCATCTAGTCAAAGAATAGCTCATGTGGTTCAAAGAAACCTGGAGCTTCAAATTAAGTAGCTTCTGAGTGAGAATGGCCCTGGGAGACAGAGGCTCCTGGGGACGGCTAGGGCCTTGGTCAGGCAAGAGCTAGAGGCGGACAGAAGCCGGATGGACAGGGGAGTAGGACGCGCTGCCTGCAGGTCACAGTTACCACCAGCCACAAGAAGATCTCTCTCTATGGCATAAAGCAAGGTCAGTGTGTGTGGGGGGGGGGTGGGGGGGGGAGTAAGCGTCTTTATGCTTGGCTTTCAGACTCAAAGAAGTAACCTGGTCACACCTCAACCCTCAGGAGGCACCTTGAAAAAGGGGAAGAGACAGAGCAGACCAACTAACAGGTTGAAACCCTGCTTGGAAAGTACAGGGTCGAAGGAATTATCATATGTTAGCTACCTGTGTGTTTCTGCCGAAAATTCCGACTTCTAGAAAAGATTCTGGCCCACAGTCTACTACTTAGCTTGTGTGTGCCAGGGTAGGGTCCTGACCCCGGTCAAGAGGCCCCAAATTCCACCTGCAGAAGTGACACACTAGCCTTCAGCACACAAACAGTCCTGCTCTGTTCAGCTATTTTTTTAAAATCTTTTTAATGTTTTATTTATTTCAGTGAGAGACAGCGTGAGCAGGGGAGGGTCAGAGAGAGAGGGAGATACAGAATCTGAAGCAAGCTCCAGGCTCTGAGCTAGCTGTCAGCACAGAGCCCGACGTGAGGCTCGAACCCATGAACCATGAGATCATGACCTGAGCCGAAGTCAGACGCTTAACCGACTGAGCCACCCAGGCGCCCCTGTTCAGCTATCTTAAAAGTCTTAACAGCAATAGAGAGTTAATGAGAAGCACTGGCAGATACCGGGTCTGAATCCAGGAGCGGCTGTGAACAGGAAAGCACCAGCCACTTCTGCCCTGGAGGCCTCAATGAGCCAAGAAAGTCTGAGAGGAGGGAAATCAGAGCCCAGGGCTGCTCAGTGTCAGGGAGGGAGTTGGGTGCGGCTCACCCACAGCACTTCCAGCTCAGGCCACAGCTGCTGCCTCCCCAAGGTGACAGGAGCTCAAGGGACAATGGCCACATGGCCCCAGGCACCTGGCCGAAGTGAGGGGAGCCTCTGAGGGAGGACTCTTACGCGAGGCAAGGCCCCAGATGGCACAGGTGCTCAAATCCAAACCCAGTGGCCAGCACACGAGGGTCACCAGGCAGAGAAAGCAACGTGCAGTAAGGCTCCCGGAAAGCAAACATTAAGAAAATAACTCAAAAGAGTTCAAAATCAATATTATTAAGCAGTACACTGGAAAATATCTGTTTGATAAAACAGGTGGAAGCAGCAAGGGAAGAATAGAGGAACAGAAGAAACGTGAGGCAGAAAGTGAACAGGGAACGCACAGGCACACACAGCCAAATAAACAACAGCAAATGTGAATACACTCAATCGTTTAACCAAAACTAAAGACTGTCAGATTGGATTTAAAAACACTCACAGAAACAAAGTAAGATCCACCCACACGCTATTTGCAAGAGACAGACATCAGGTTCAGACACAGAACAATCAAACGTGGGAGGGCAGAAGACCCCAAGCAAACTGGAGCCAGCGGAGACAGACAGGCCTTTGGCAACAGGACGCCACTGGAGACGAGAAGAGGCCGCCTGTGGACAGAGGGCCACCATCAGAAAGAAGTGAAGGTTGTAAATGCACTTCCCTGCTGGCCACAGAGGAGGAAGAAACAAAACGGACAGGGTCACCAGGACCCTGAAGGAAGAAAGGGACAGAACAGCAAGAGCTGAAGATCGGGACGCGCGGTGAGCACCGGACATCTGGGACAGCTGGGCAGGTGAGGCCGCCTGCAGAGAGAAGGCGGGCAGTGCCACCAACCAGAGCTCAGCCCACCAGCGCAGGCTCGTCCACGTAGCAGGGGCCACAAATGTTAAAGCACTAAGATCATATAAGACCTGTTCTCTGACCACAGTGAAATCAAGTCAGAAACCGAAAACAGGAGGGTACTTGGGAAATCTATCACCAATACGCAGGAATGAACAACACACTTCTTTACTTGTTTTAATTTATGTCTTTATTTTATTTTGAGAGACAGAGATAGAGAACAAGCGGAGGAGGGGCAGAGAGAGAGAGGGAGACACAGAATCTGAAACAGGCTCCAGGCTCTGAGCTGTCAGCATAGAGCCCGACGTGGGGCTCGAACCCACAGACGATGAGATCATGACCTGAGCTGGTTGGACACTCAACCAACCAGGCGTCCCAACAACGCACTTCTAAACAGCTAGCAGCTGCATAAGAAATCACAATTTTAAAATATTCTGAGCTGAATGAAATGAAAAATGACATAGCAATACAGCAAAAGCCACACCTGTACCAACGAAGACTGATTTCTTAAGAAACAACAGTAAAATTGGGGCGCCTGGGTGGCTTAGTCGGTTGGGCGTCTGACTTTCGCTCGGGTCATGATCTCGCGGTTCGTGGGTTCGAGCCCCGCGTCAGGCTCTGTGCTGACTGCCAGCTCAGAGCCTGGAGCCTGTTTCAGAGTCTGTCACTCCCTCTCTCTCTGACCCTCCCCTGTTCACACTGTCTCTCTCACTCTCCTAGAAATAAATAAAACATTAAAAAAATTTTTTTTTAAAAATAAAAAAAAATTAAAAAAAAGAAACAACAGTAAAAAAGAGCAAATTAAACCAAAAGCAAGAAGAAAATAATGAAGATCAGAGCAGAAACAGAAAAAAAAAAAAAAACAGAGAAAAGAAAAGCAGCAAAATCAAACAATGATTGGTTCTTTGAAAACATCAAATTTAACAAACTTTTAGCTAGACTGGAGACCAATAAACTTTTTCTATAAAGGGCCGGGGAGTAAATGTTTTAGTCTTTGTGGCCATATGTGGTTTCTGCCAATATTCTTCTTTGTTTTTGTTGTTTGTTTGTTATTTTGTTTTTACAACATTTTAAAAATAAAAAGACCATTTTTAGCTCAGAGACCATAAAAAACAGGCTGCCAGTGGGTTTGTTCTATGAGCTGTCATCTGCTGAATCCTAAACGAGACAGACCAAGGAAAAGTAACTAAATTCAAGAATGAAAAGGAAGACAGCAAGGCTGGCCTCAGAGAAGTTAAGACAACAATATGAGAGTCCAAATCAACTCTTTAGACAAATCAATTAGACAAAACAGATAATTCCCAGGAAGATGTGGGTTTCTGAAATTGACTGAAGAAGAAATATAAACTCTGAAGAGATCTATAAAAAGTAAAAAAAAGTATTGAAGCCTAGTAATTAAAAATCTCTCATGACAAAAAAACTTTTTTAAAAAAAACCAACACAGTTGCAATGTGTTTGTCAGCAAAATAAAATTTCGAAGTGCTGCCTATTTAAAAAAAAAATCTCTCCCCACAAAAAAGTCCAAGTTGAGATGGCATGAGTAGTGAATTCTACCAAACACTTAAAGGAGAAACAGGGATGCTAGGCTGGCTCACTTGGTAAAGCACATGACTCTTGATCTCGGGATTGTGAGTTCAAGTTCCACGTTGGGTATAGAGGTTTCTTAAAAATAGATTCTTAAAAAAT